GCAAATTCTGCTCCCCTACAATGTTCATTGTGAGGCTTTTTATAATAGAAAAAATTGGGAGCAACTTAAATGTCCAGCAGTAGAGAAATGGTTAACCAAATTGTAGTATATTTATATAATATAAAAGAAGCATATGTGGCTATTAAAAATCATGTTTTCAATATCATGTTTCAGAAATTTAATGACATGGAAAATTTCTACAATAAAATGTTAAATGAAAAAGTAGAACACCAAATTGCATAAATAGTTTGAGCCCAACATATTGTTTTTTTAAAAACAGACACTATTCTGGTAAGAATGAAAAGAACAAATCTGGTCAACTAATAGAGTGATTGGCTGTCCTCCACCAGGAGATTGGGCCCAAGCCTAATTCAGCTGCCACCTTCCAGTCATTTCTAGTGAGTGAGAAACTGTATCAATTCAGGAATCCCAAAATCACAGAAAAAAGCATAAATCAAACAGTTTTGGAATCATGGGACACAAGGGGAAAAAATGTAAGTTCATATGAGATGATTTCAGCATGACAGTCTAAAATAAATTATCTTTCATCAGCATTTGGAATGCAAATAGCTACTCAATAGACATTTTCTGAAGCAACCTCAAGTTTTCTTAGTTTTCTTAGCCTAAACTGCATGAACCCAGTCCTCTGCTCTATTTGCTGGAAACAGCGCCTACCCATTGATGGTCATTCTGCCACACCATCACTTTTGAAGAGCTTTGGAGAAAACAAAGCTCACAGTAAATTACAGAGGGTTTGTTTTACTTTGTTTTCTGGCCAGCTAATTTGCATTAAAATGGGGTATTTTGTAACACAATGTGCAGTATATCCCAGACACATTTATTTTATGTTACCCTGCTGGGAAGGTATAGTGCATTATGTTAGCTCAACATTGATACATCTACATGCCTATGAAGCACCAGGAAGGAAACAGTTCTTCCATAGACGACAGGTGGACACCTAATCTAGAGGGAAATGAATAATGGACGTGGCCTTTTTATCACAGGTTTTCAATCCCAACTTGACCTACTCATGCAATTACAAGACACAGCCTCGTACCTTTGGCATACACTCACTTTGCTAGAGGATTAATTGCACATTCCCAGATTACATACCACAGGCTTGAATCCTTTGGTCTATCTTACATCATGTTTTAAGCTTTATCTATGATATGCTTATTCCTCAGTCATTTCACTTGACAAAGTTTTCAGTAAGAAGGAAATTAGTGATGTAGATTTACCTATGGATCTGAAATTTTGTGACATTCAGGTATTTCATGGATGATGTGCTTTGTACATAGTTGCTGAATAAATAATTGCGTGAATGAATTTTAGAGCAATACAATAATGAGTTTCATCCATTCACTGCAGGACTCAGTTGGGAAGGTTTTGAGATGAATGCCAAATCAATTTATGCTCAGAAAAAGCAGAATGCTTCTTGCTCTTATGACAGTGGGGAAAGCTTTGACATTTTGACATTGGTTTGAGCTGGTTAACCTGATATTCAGAATGTGCAGAAGCGTGTTAAAGCTGGGCCATGTATTTATATTCTTTGTGGTGACAGATTGGAATATTATTTTAGTTTTGGCCACCCTTCCTCCATGGAATGCACATTTTCACATAACTGTGTCCCTCTCTCCAACTTCACACTATGACCAGGTCGCTCTCTATAATGTCAGAATCTCTTCACTTTCACATGGAGCATATTTCAAAGACAAGTCTTTGATGACCAAAGAGAATCTGTTTGTTAGGGTATGCATACCCAACTATGGTGGATTTGGAAGGTACATCTTAGGACTGACATCTCAGGCTTTACTGCTGCGTTAATCCTGTGATTACAAACAATAGAATCCCTTATTGAATTCTTTAAACCATGAGGATACGTTAGATTCTCTAGGTTTTCTTATTTACTATGTTACCTCATATGCATTAAGAAAATGGAAGCAAAGGAAGATTATGACAAATCGTGTTCACCCCATCCTCTAATGAAAAGTGTTTTCCTGTATCTCATTGCACAATATCCCCAACAAGTATACAAACAGACAGACCCACCCCCCCATCTTCCTCTCTTTGATTTACAAAAAGACAATAAGCAAATTGGAAAGGGAAGCCACTACTTGTTAACAAAGCTCTCCCCATCATTTCAGGTAAATAAATATGTCTTAAACTATTGACTTTTTGGTGAAGAGGCTCCTATTTTTGCCATCTAAACTATCAGTAGTTTGGGGAGAATAAGACTGATTAGAAAAGTGAATTTGGTTCAGTCTGGGTCTCCTGGAGCTCTGAAATCATATCACATGTGCACCCACTTCCCCCGCCTATGTTTCCAAATAGGGAATGCAGTCACTCTCACAATCACCTAAATTACTCCATGCCTCTGACAGCAGTAGTAGCTAACATTTGTTCCTTTATCATAAATTTGATGCCAACTATGTGCCCTGACCTTATGAGGGTCAGGCCACTGATTTTTGCACATTAGTATTTAATAGTATAAATATAGAAGTTGTACTTCAAAAAATTCAGTGATTCTCGATGTCCTTCAAAGAAGCCATGAATTCAAGCATTAAAAGTTGTCATCATTAGATTTCAAGCTGTTAGAATGTGAAGAGAGATTAACATATATATATTCATGTTATATATGCATATAACATGTTATACTCTAAATTGCACTTCTGGCGTGGTCCATATAAGTCTAGAGTATAAATATATATGTTTTGCACCTAAAATAGTTTTAACATAAATACAGAGAATTGTAAATAAATCATACAATCCAGATCAATCATTGCTGCCATTGTTTCTAATGGCATTTTTTCATAAACAAGGTTGTATGTTGACATTTCAAAAATATAAGTGGTAACCTTTACAGAATTGCTTCCTCTTGTAATTATCTAATTAACATAGGGGCTGGTTAGGTACCAAAAAAATTAAAAAGAGAGAGAGAAAGAAGGAAGGAAGAGAAGGAGATAGGAAGGGAAGCAATGTAGAATAATTCTCTTTTGTGTATGCCAAGAGCTGGATTTGGGCCCTGAACCAGTGTTTATCCTGCCTTCCAAAAGCTTCAGTGTCCTTTCCTCAATTCATTTTGACCTGAAAGTTTATTTTCTCACAACAAATGCTACCAATAAGTGGCAAGTTGATGTGAATCCTCACATCATATCATTTAATGCTGCGAGGCTGGGTTTTTGGATGTGGTACTTCTTATGAATCCAGTGGGCAGAGAGTGATGATATGGGGTGCCAGTGGCATTCCTGGAGTGAGTGCAGATGCCAGTTGACCTTAGTGTATAGGACCACCAAAGCACAATCCCTTTTTTGATCTGGGACAATCCTCTGTGAATGGTATCATCATTCTCATATCTGATAGCTTTAACACTGAATGCTTAAATGCTAGCAATACAGTGGTAACCATTATATTATAATCTCATTTTTAAATGATTTCTAGGATATCCCAAACCAATCTGTATGCAAACCAGTGACATATGAGTAATAAACCCTTTATCTCAGAATGTTATCTTCACATTTTTAGCTGAATTGTGACCCATATCACAAAGTAAATAATGGATTTTTTTAATGGTATCTTTAAAAGGATACACAAATAATCCATCACTCAGATATATCTCTGAATAGAGAAAATGCCTCTTTCTTTCTCACCTCTCAGTGATATTATTGCATTATAAGGCACTTTAAAGCTTATGGCTGGTTGGTTCAGTGCACTCATACTGTGGTGTTAATGAGGCCAAGGTCATGGAGGCCAGTTAGCTTTGCTCTGTGTACTGACCACAGACTACCGGCAGTCAGTCAAGAGATACTAATACAGATGAGAAAGGTACCATGGCAAAACCTCAGCACTTCTCACAGTCCATCCTCCCCAGGGGACAGGCAAGATGTGTTCCTTGGGCTTCATCCTTTTACGGAGGAAATGAGGAGTAGCTTGGGAGGCCCCAACATCTACCTCTGAACAAAGCAAGCTTGACATTTAGGCATTAACTTTGCATTATAATCCCCCATCATACCATTGATTTGCTGTGTAACCTTCATCACTAAAGCAGAGATAATAGGATAGAATGAAATGGGCTTACCTCCCGGGGATGTTGTGTGAATTAGCAAATTAACGAGTGTAAAGTGTTAGCATTTATGTAAGTGCTGGTGGTTGTCATTATTTCTAGGGACCTAGTCGCATTCTAAATAGAGAATCTAAGTATATTATGCTTTTGTCAGAAAGGGATTTTCATCCACATCAATTGCATTTAAGCTGAGCATAAAACAGAGGTGATAATAACATAGTAGTGATCATCACAATGCAGAGCTGTAAACCTTTTTCCTATTAAAACTAAAACTATTTTCAGCAACTTCTTTCAATGCTTTTAAACTTTGCTTTCCAAGCTTTGTGCCAATAGTTATCTCTACAGTGATTATTCTTCCTGTGACGGGTGAGGGGAATGGGACCTATTCATTATTCATTTCCATAATGACTATATAATGTACTGAATTTGTTTACATCATACAATCAGGCAAAGACTCAGGAGCTGGTTTGATTGCCACGTGTTGCAATCATTGTTAAAAATAAAAACTCGATTGTGCTCTGCCCCCGCTGATGTCCTCTGGAGGTAGCCAACGTACAGACTGAACACTCAAAGGGAATTGAAGTGCTTTCCAACAAAAGGCACTGTACATAGATCTTTTCAATTTAACGTCTTTACCAAGGAATTTTGTTGTCGCCTGCTATTTCCAAGGGGACTGTGCTTGAGAGAATTCTTCCATTTCTTGTATCACTCTGACTTCACTTACCAAGAAAAGTCATTTATTGCTGATTGCAGAACTCTTGAACTCAGCCTGGCAGCTGCAGCGTGAACTCCTCAGATCTGGGCTTCTTGTTACTTATTTACATATTCATTTGAAGTGATTTTTCAGGACTATTTGAAAACCTCTCTCGACCTGACATCGTATAATAGCTGAGATCTAAAGCTCACCCTGTTTTTGGTTCTTTTTCTCTTTGTGTTACAGATAACAGACGAGTACCTTTGGAAAGGTCACGCTCTCGCCACAATGGAGCTATCCCATCTAAGTGATTCCTGATGCCAAAGAATATGAAAATATTTAAGTAAACAAAATCATATATTTTGAAAAGAACAAAACATGCACTCAAGGGTTGGAGAGGAAATAAGTGCATTTCTGCAGAGATCAAGCTAAGCCGGATGAAATAGCGTGCATTTGTAAAGCTATTGCAAGAATCCTTCTAAGATTATACTAATATGAACACAATTATCAGGATTATAAAACATGTGTTCCATTGTAGTGTAAAGATGTGTGTTATTTGTTATTGTGCATGACCTGATGGTGATGATGAAAAGTGTAAGAAATTCTAAGGCTTTCAAAAACATTCAGTCTGTCAGAAATTTACAATGTTGCTCAAATTTGCAGGTCACCCCCCCAAAAAAAAAGGAAGAAAAGGAATAGAAAGAAAGAATCACTCAATGTCTGCTTTTGATTCCTGTTATATAGAAAGGGATAAGGCCAATAAAAATTAAATGTGCGTGTTAATAATTTGGAGAGGCGCTAATATTGCACACTCCGTAAGAGAAATCATTTTGAAAACTCACTCAAACACAGTGCTGCTTCACCCCCATCAAGTTCTTTAGAATCTTATCTCAAGTGAAAGCTGATGGGTTTGTCTGCTTTGGCTGAAATTAAATGTATCATTAATCTAGAGTTTCAGCATGATATTGCAGGCACTTATCGTTGCTAAAAATAAACCAAAGTTTAACAGAAACAGAGAAAGTGATTTAAACTTTATTTAAAGAGGTATTTTCTAATGATGCACATATATCTACTTTATACAAATACTTTATATGGCTATTTTTGAGAAAAACCTCACATTTTAATGTTTAAGCTAGGGATGAACCTGAAAATTCTATTACCTTTAGTTAGATTTTTAAAGGTAAATAGTGATTCCTATTCTCTGTGGTTTATTTCTTCTCTCCATTGCTTCTTTCTCCCATGACCCCCTTGAAGACAGACAGGGAATAGAGTTCTAGAAGACCTGAGAGGAAAAAGATTTCTCTCTGCAGGAGGCAGCAGAAAACTGTCTGAAAGGTCACTTGTTTTATCTGCCTTTCTACTCCCCTTTCCAATTCTGCCTTGGTGATCTGAAGAAGAACAAGAAATTATATATATGTATGTGTATATATGTCTATATATTTATATCTCCTGCTACAATAATTCCACATCCCAGTGACTAAGTGAACTTCTCAATCATCTTCATACTTCCTTATCTTATATTAACAAATTTAAATGATGCTGCCAAACCAACTCTTGGAGGAAAACAGGCTCTACAATTTTCTTAAATAGATGAGAGAGTAACGGTTATACTTAACTTGTCTATTATTTTCAAATAAGCACTGAAATAATGTGGTATAACTTCTCTGGAGTGTAATTTTAAGACTAATCCATGCAGATGATTGTGATTATTGTAAAAGAAGATTTCTTATATGTATATTTCTTATGTAGAAAATCCTATTTCTATGCCTCCAAAGCACATTATAGACATTCAGAAAGAACAAATGACTGGCTTGGCAGGTCACCACCTGAGATAATGTAAACAAGTGACCAGTAGCTCACAGTTTCCTTTATATAGATGTATAGTGATTCAAACTGCTGCCTTTTCCTCCAGCGCATTCTGACTTGGGTATTATACTTTAAAAAGCTCTGAAGCTGCTACGATAGAGAAATCAAAAAGAATAACAATATCTGAGATTTTACAATTTTATCCTATCTTAAGACACACGTGCACACACAAACAAGTTTAAGGGACATATCAATTTAACACACTCTTTTTTAACAACAACAACAAAGATTTAGGTTCTACTAATTTATGTAAATTCTTAGTGTGTATTTTTGACTTCACAAAGTCTTTTCTGAAATCTTCGTGGTATGGCTTCTTTGAGTCTTTTGATAGCTTTTCAGACTGTAGGAAAATGATATTTTGAAATATTAACCCTGACTAAAACTTAGGGCCATTTGCCATGCCATATTATCAAGCTGGTGAAGGTAGAAATACTGATGTGTTTCACCTTTTCCAGATGTGAACTTGCCTTATTTTTTAGTTTGTGAAAAAATGAGGTACTATTATTGATAAATTATATATTTGTACTTAGAGTAATCCTATATGCTTTTCACAAACATTATGAAACCTTTTAGGGTCTTTCACGAAGTTCCAATAATTGAGTTAAAGGGATTATTTCCCAGATTTATAATGGTCCTGTTCTAGCCATTTGCAGTTTTGTTTGAGATTGAAAAGTATCACCAAAAAACATACATACATAGTGACTTTTTTAGTATAGAACTAAATTAAAGTCTTATTGAGTTTATTACTGCCACATATGAGAAGCATCAATTTTTACAGATTTTCTTCAGAATGCTTTTAAAAAGTGCAAAACCCTAAAAATGTTTCCAGTTGTATTAGTTTCCTTTGGCTGCTGTAACAAATTACCACACACTTGGTGGCTTAACACATCAGAGATTATTCTCTCATAGTTCTGGTGGCCAAATGTCCAAAATCAAGGGCCATGCTCCCTCCAGAGGCTCTAGAGGAAAATCTTTTGCCTTTTCCAGCTTCTGGTAGCTATCGGCATTCCTTGGGTTATGGCCACATCCCTCTCTCTCTGCTTCATCTTCACATCACCTTCTCCTCTGTGTATCTAATCTCCCTCTGCCTTTGTCTTATAAGGACACAATTAGGTTGGCATTTAGGGCCTACCCAAATAATCCAGGATAATTTCATCTCCAGATCCTAAACTTAATTACATCTGTAAGACCCTTTTTCCAAATAAGATAACATTCACAGATTCTGGGGATTAGGATGTGGATATATCTTTTTGGAGGTGACCCTCAGCCCACTACAGTCTGCCCTCTGGCCCCCCCAAATTTATGTCTATCCCATGTGCAAAATATATTCACCATATCTCAACACTCTCAAAAGTCTCAACCTATTATAGCATCAACTATAAGTCTAAAGTCTCATTCCACTATCATCAGTTCGAAAGTTCCAAATCTCATCTAGATCACCAAAATCAGGTATAGGTGAAACTCCTGGAGCCAAAGCCCTCCCTATCTGTGAATCAGTGAAACAAGATGATAACAAGTTATCTGCTTCCAAAATACAATGGTGGGACAGGCATAGGATACTAGTTATAGACATTCCTATTCCAAAAGGGAGAAAATGGAAAAGAGAAAGGAGTCACTTGTCCTGATGGTTTTCAAAATTCAGCCAGCAAGATCCCCGTAGGTTTGAGGCCTGACAATAATCCTGTTTGTTTGTCTCAGGGCTCCACCCTTTAGGCCTGCAGCTCTGCCCTCTTGGCTTATGGATTCTCTGCCTCTGTGTCTGTGGCTTGCACTTCTGCCTCTGTACCTGCAGCTCTGCCCTAGGGGGTGATCCTTTATGTTGAAGGGCGCATGTTTGTTTGCAGCTTTATCGACCCGTTTCCTGCCTGTAAACTTTTGGTAGTCTAACAGCCTTCTTTCATTTTGTCCTGTCTCTATCTATCTCTTTCAAGCCAAGCTGGAAGTGTTTCTGCTGGTCTAACATTCTCAAAACTTTATGGGCCTCCCATGTATGTCACATTGATTCAATAGTGAGACAAGAGAGTCCCCACGGACCTTTGCCAGATAACCCCATCTCTATTTCTGGCTTTTATTGAGATGCTTGAGTGGATCCATGAGTCAACACCTAATCTGTTCAGCACTGGCCAAAGACTGTCCAGCTACATCTTTGGCTTTATCTCAGAGCACACTATCCTAACAGTAAACCTCCTAATTTTCACTCTTTTGCAATCTAATAGGCTCAAAATTTCCTGAATCATCAAGTGCTCATTCCTTTCTGCTTAACAGTTCTTTCCTCAATTTATCTATTTCCTCTTCTATTTTACTATAAGCTCAAGAAGAAACTAGGGCATACCTCCAACTCTTTGCTTGGATATCTCCTCAGCTAAATATCCAAGTTCATCACTTACAAATTCTACTTTCCACACAACTGTTGGAGACAATTCAGATAAGCTTTTTGCTGCTATATAACAAGGATTACCTTTCCTCTGGTTTCTGATAAAATTTTCCTCAGTTCCTTCCGAGCCCTCACCAGAAGCGCCTTAAACATTCATGTTTCTACCAAGAGTTTATTTAAGGCAATCTATGATTTTTCTGTCATATGCATCAGATTTCTTCCAGCCTCTACTCATTATCCAATTCCCAAGCCAATTCCACATTTTTAGGTATTTGTTATAGCAGGACCTTACTTCCTGGTACTAAAATCTGTTTTAGGTTCCTGTGGCTGCTGTAACAGATTACTCCAAATGTGGTAGCTTTTGGAGTAATCAGAAATTTATTCTCTTATTGTTTTGGAGGCCAGAAGTCCTAAATTGAGGTGTTGGCAGGGCTGTACTCCCTCTGGAGTCTCTAGGGGCAAATCTGTTTGCCTCTTTCAACTTCTTGTGACCATCATCATTCCTTGGCTTGTGGCCAAATTTTCTCTCTGCTCTGTCTTCACATCACCTTTCCCTCTGTATATCTAATCTACCTCTGCCTCTCTCATATAAGGATACTTGTGGTGGCATTTAGGGCCCATCCAGTTTATCCATGATAATCTCTTCAAGATCCTTGACTTAATTACATCTGTGAAGACCCTTTTTCCAAATAAGGTAATGTCACAGGTTCTGGGAATTAGGACATGGACATATCTTTGAGGAGCCACCATTTAGCTTACTACACTAGTCATTGCACATAAATGTACTTTTCACTTTTTAAAATGCATCTTTGGTGCTCCAACCAAATTCAAGATTGTCTCTAAAAGCTATTATCTATCTGCACAGGCTACTGCATGCTTTGATATTAAATGGCTGAACAGGCTATTCTAAAATTTGGTTGATACTTTTACTACTATGGCCAATTAGCTTGAAAAAATAATTGGTTCCAACTCTGAGTGCTGATATATCTCTTCTGCCCCTTTTATGGAGTCTTTGACCAAATGACCTATAATTCATAATGCAGGCGTCAAACTACCTCTGATACAGAAGGGTTCTTTATAAGCTTATTATTTTAGATATTGTGAATCCCTCAGCTGAAAGAAGAGGTGACAGCAAAGCCTGCTTTGAATGGGTATTGAGGGAGATTGTGCCCATACCAAGACACCCAGAAGAAGTATTTCAATAGCAGTAGAACTGTGGATTCGTGCTCTCATTTTGCCTCAGAATAAACACGTGTCTCTTCACAGGACCAAGAATGACTTGCAATCTATATGTAATGCATACTTACTTATTCAATAAAGATATACATTAAATGTTGTGCTGCCTATGATAATTAATATTAAGGATGAGTGAAAAGGCACAAACTGAAATATCAAGACAGGATATAAGAACATTATAGAAGGAGAAGCTTCAACTGAATGGAAGTACAAGAGTATTTCTGTAAGGACCTGGTCAGGTAGAAATCATGGGATATATTCAAAGACACACGTACCTGTGGGAATCATAAGATTTTCTTTAAGTATTATTTAACACTGCTTGCCAGAGTAGTGGAGAGATGTTTGTTTGCACAATTTAAGTCTAG